CGTCTTGCCATACACTCAAACTGCTGACATCATAGGAGGAATCTTTCATCTGACATCAGTCTGGTTTGAAACAAGAAATCCTGAACCTGAACTCCTGAAGGCGGAAATGTTACTTTCCTGTGTTAAGTCAGTACCTAACAGAGTTGGGTAATGTGCAAAGTAAAATGGAGTAATTAAAACTGTGAGTTTGAAGACGGAAGTCCAAAAAAGACTGTCGGCTGTTTCTCCATTTATAAAGTCTGCTAGAAGGTTTTTGGTTAGTTGGTTGGTTTTTTTTTTCCATAATGTAAGGCTTTGCTGCAGGGTATGCCATTTGTTTCTGGTGGCTTTGTAACATAGCTAGGCTTCACACAAGAGAAGGGCTTGAGGGCCTTTTGCCACTTCAGCACTTTCCTCCTCTGTTCTCCAGCATTTCCTTTTATTCAGGCCAGGAATTCATTTTGGATGGTCCTTCTGCACATCTTGCCACTGGCTGTAATTAATAACCTGCTTTTAGAAATTCCACACATTGTCTTTTTTTCTTCTTATTTAAGAAGCTGTTCAGGATAATTACTGTCTTTAAAGTTTTATGAATCACAGTGCTTGACAACTTTGATGTTGATTGATTTTCAGAAAACTGCACTTTTTGTTCTAATGTTCAATTTGTCACTGTTACTTACAAACAAATAAGAGATTTAAAACCCCAAAGATGCAGATGTTCTTTAGCTTTGTTGCCATCTGTTTTCCTGCCTACTGGTTTCCAAGACTAACATTTGCGCATTTCAATGATGCTGCATTTATACAACATATAAGATACAATACAATAGAAAATAAATACAACAGAAATTCTTTAATGTAAATTGATTAAATCTCTTGTTCATAGAGCAGTATTTTTTTCTAATGGTTTTTATTTTCATGATAACTTTAACTAGAGAGTTTGAAAAATGTGTTGTTTTGCTCAGTTATATATAAATTACAGCTCAGAAAACACCATGGAAATCTCCAAAGAAAGGCATATGATATGACCTTAATTCACTTCATATTTTAAATTGTGGCTTTTAAACAGCCTTCTTCCTGGATGTCAGAAAGCCATACATTTACCTGAAGTCATTGAAGTTGTACATCAAATATTTGAATTCTTAATCTAGTTTGGTAGAAACCTGATTCCTCACTCCAACAAATTAATTTTTAGAACTAGCTCATTGAAAAGGGTTGAAATTTTAGGATTTCTGTAGAATAAAAGACTTGCCTGATTTATGAAAATCATATTTGATTACTTCCCCACACCTAGATAGTTTTTGTGTTTAAATCTTTGTGATAATATTTTGATAATATTTCTTCCACAGGTGACGGATTGAGCTGCCCACTTTCTAGTTGGCACTTATCTAAATCTCTTAACTCAGGCAAACACAAGTAACCAAGACTTTACAGGCACTTCTTTCTGTTCTAAAAAGGTATTTCAGGCAGAATTGTTGGTATCTGTTACAGCTTGTGAGATTACAACTCAGTAAGTGCTAATTAGATCTTTCTTTATATTCAGAAAAACATATGCAGTCCTAAGTGCCTTCATCTGCACTATAACAAAGTTTATAGTAAATACTGCTAATCCAGTGTGCTTAGAAGTGATATTTTGGGAGATAAGATTTCAGATACTTGTGCCTGCTCATCTGTTACAAGTAGATTAGCCATATTTTTGTAATGAAAGGCTCGCCCATGCTGCCTTCCCCTTCTCTCAGCACTTAAATTAATCTTGTCTTCTTGTCTCATCTCCCAGAAGTATTCTGTGTTCTTTGTCTTCAGTGCCAGTATCACTTGTCCAGAACTATTTCAGGGCATCCATTTTACTGCACACTTCCAGGAGGGTTGAGGCAAATCCTTGCTTAGTGTAAATCAGTCCAGTGATCTTCTTAGGACTCTTTAACTTTGTGTTGACTTATTATTTCTGTTTACATGCTCACTGACTGGTCTTCTGGTCTTTTCTTTGGTGATTTTCTGTCTTCCATCCATTTTTCTTGATCCACTCACTATCCAGACTATAAATTGTACTATAATGTCATACTCTACATCCATCTCATAACATTTGAGCACATCAGTGATTTATTGCAGACAAATATTATTAAATAATCTTTTCTGAAGAAAAGACTATCTTCTTTCTGTAGCAACCCTGTCTGAAAACTATTTGGACCAATATGTCCTTTGTCCAGCCTCTCAGAGGCCAATAGTTATGAACTATGTTGGTCCAAAGGGTCTGCAACAGAGTAGGCAGATGAAAAGCTAATGAGTTTATGCCAACGTGGTCTGAAGGAAAAGAGAATAATTGCACATTCTTCAGTATCTAAAGCCTCAAGACATGTCAAAGACTGAACTAACATGCACCAAAAAATTGTGTTAGGAAAGAAGGGGTGCACTTTCTTTAAAAGATTGAGATTTCCAGAGCTTAATAAGACAACTACTGCTTGAGAGTCCAGGAGCAAAGTTATGCGTATAACCTTAATAGGTTTTGAACCTCCTTGGCCTAAGCTGAACTAATTCTACTCTTACCTGTAGATAAAATTACCACGGCCTTTGTCAACTTCTCAGTCAGTGATTCCCGGGCACATATTAGGAAAGCAAAGACACTGTTATTCAGAGATGACATAAAGAATTGAAGAGTACTATATGGCTGCTAATAAAAACCAATAACAAACAAAAAAATCCCACCCCAAAACCACAAACAAAAACATCCTCCTAATAAAACATACATTTTGTTTCATTCAGGCATGGAAGCAGGAAAAAGCACGTTATAGGATATGTTAGCATGTTATATGTGCAGCTGCCTAAATCAGTGAAAAGACTCTTCAGTCTTTTCCTTTCTGCACCATAATTTTGTCACTCTCTGGCTTCAGAAAGACTTAGTAGATCATGGAGTGCTCATCATCAAATTCCCCTTGCTTCTTTGTAAACTGGGCAGTGTTACTGGCAACTTTTGGATATGTAAGGCACACCTACTGAATGTCTGTTCTAAAGTCCCGAAAAATCAAGTAGCATGGTTAACACTGTGTCCTGGCTTCAGAGTAAGGAAATATGAATACATCTTGGATCCAGTTTAAAGCATGTAGCACTTGCTAAGACTGCTTCCTTTGAGCACAGTACTTGGTTCACGTTGCTCTTTAGGAACTCAGTGAAACTACTGATATATTTGAAATAAGGATTTGTGAAAGTGGTGTTAGATCATGATTTAAGGGTGGTAAAACACAAGGTGTATTTTTCCATCACTTTCAGAAGCTGAATTCATGTGATGACAGGAGCAGGAGCTAGACAAGGGTGTTTTTTCCATTCCAGACCCATCACATCTTTATTCCTTGCCACTTTCCTAGCCAAGCAGTTAGAAACATCTCATCTCCTGTAATGCTGCACTGCATCTAGCAGAAATCAAAGTGGAAGTCCTGCAATGTGAGAATTGCTTAGCTAATCTGAACTGCCAGAGGAAGGAAAAGCTTATCACTTCTCGCTTCTTAAGATTTTTTGTTGCATCTTTGTAATTGTTTTTAATTACACAACAAAGTTTATCTGCTGTGCCTTTGAACAGAACACACACATGCAGGGCTTCTTTTTCCTATTGGCTGCAGGCTGCTAATTTTGACACCTTTCTAATAAATCTGTTGGCTAGATGCAAAGCTTCAGGCTTGGCAGGACCTCAGGAAATCAAGAAAGGAGGTAGCAATTCTTGTTAGAAAAGGAGTTCCAAAGTTGATAGATTAACAGGAATCATTTCCAACTGAGCTAACCTATTTAAAAGTAGCAAGTACATGAAAAGGGAAAATGGTTAGACTGCATTACCAGAGAAGTGTTACTCCTTGTGAAATGGATTTTAGCACCTAGAACCATATTTCTGAATGCCTGTAATATTTATGATACAGCCCTGAAAGGCCAAATACAATCTATGGAAATACCACCTAATTTACACTACCCAGTGTTTCCTGTTGGCTGGTTCTACACCTTCAGAGTTGCAAAGCCAATTAACAAAAGAAAGTGATTTCTCCTAATGAATCTGAAGGGAATGAATATTTGTGACCAAACCTGTGGTGCTTAAATTTACAGCAGAGATTGCCTGAGCTTCAGAGTTTATAAATGAAAAGAAGTAGGCACTTTCATGGGGTAGTTCAGAACCTACAGCTGTGATACTACTGCACTTAAGATGTGGTAACATTTCTCTGAAGTGTTTGAATTCCTGCTGCAATATCATTGCAGTCTAAATAGCTTTGCAGAACCTAAAATGATTTGGGGCCAAAAGGGACAGGTAAATGTCATTTATTAGATTTTTCATGTACTCAGAGGTAAACTCCTAAGCAAATTGATACAAGTCAGTAGAAAAAAGGAAAGAATTTGGGCAAGTATGCTCATATCTTGGAAACCCATAGTAAAGTAGATTAAAAAAATAAATCCTTTTTGTGGAGGATAGCCTGATATTTCCATAACAATTATTATTAAAATAATATGACTGATTTTCCCTGGAATGTGTACTATGTACACAAAAAAGAGAAAACCAAACCCAACAGTACAGTATTTACGTTGCAAGAACTGCTGATGAGTATAGTTTTTCTTTTTTGAGAAATCTATCCCGAATGTTCTGTATTATTATTGGGTTTGTAAAGAATTCTTGAGAACAACTGATTACAAAAATTAGCATCACAGGGAACAATAAATTGCATGATACAGACGTGTTTCACAGCATTCCAGTTGTAGAGCTGGTGGGGGGATTTTGGAAACAGATTTGGGTATAATTAGGAAATCTGAGTTGCCCAGTCTCTGAGCTGAGAAGTGACTACTGGAGGTATTTACAAAAAGGCAACCCACACTGGTTTTGAAAAGAAAAAAAAACTAACAAACCATCAAAAAAGAAAAGACATTGCTGTTATGGTAAGATCAAACTGGAATCTGACTGAAGCAGCACAGTCAATATTGTACTACCATCAAATATCATACATTAAAACTCTTCTTACTCGTTTAAAATTTAAGTCTTTTAATCTTGTTTTTATTAGAATGATATGGGAGGTCAAAGAAGCCTAATAAACAAGTGGACTACTTTTCTGAAAGCCAGGCTTGTGTGTTCAATACCTGGTCCTGAAGGAGCAGACACACACTTTGATGAGCTGCGTAAGTTGATTTGTCTTCAGTGCTTTATTCTGACATTGCTATTGGTTGAGTTTATTTTGTTGTTTGTAGAAGCACTGTGTCTTGTTCTGGTCTCACTACTTTTCCAAACAGTGCTTTTAATATCTCTGACTTTTACCTGAAGTCCTTTATTATAACTGAAATTAGTCTGAATTGTGGAAATATGGGGGTTTTGCACTTTCATTCTAAAAGCTGGAAAGTGAAAATCCTATTCTGTATAAAAACCAGACTGTGCAAATGGACAAATTTCAGGATATTAGCGCAAATTCGCATGGCAGAATTTAACATTCAGACAAAAATAAAGCTTTGTTATATCTTTCTAATTTTTTTTATTTTTATTTTTTCCCATTGCAGAAGATATTTTCTTACTTTCTACAAGAGATGAGAGAAATCCACTTGTATATGGAGTTTTCACTACAACAAGGTATGCCTGACAATCACTTTTTATTAAACCCTTCTATTACTAGATCCTGATCCCTGAGAGCAGCGAGCGACTGCTTGAATAAGGCTTGTAATACTGGGGCTGTAGTCACTAAGGGCAATATTTTCAGAAATGTAAATCATAAATTATGTCCCGAAATCTTTATGTGCCTGACTTTTCAGAATGATTGTAAAAAATAATGAAAATTTAACAATCAAAACCATGCTGTTTTTTTTCAACCTGATCTAGCTGAGTTTAACAATTTCAGTCATATTTATTGAGCAACCAATAGTTACTATTTAGGACAAATCATCATTTTGAACCATTGTTTCTGTGAGCAACAACTTGACATCAGCTGTTTCTTAGGATGAAACCCCACTATGCTCTAAAGTGATATTTCACTGTTTTTATAGGCAGGAGTTGATGGAAGAATAACTCATATTAATGTCAAAGGGATAGATTAATCAATTAATGAACCTCAGCTGCAGTAATGAGGTGTTCTCTATAGAACTGTTAGAAAGGAAATAAATAATTATTTTGTCTCCAGAACCTTTGAATTAAATGTAAATGACTAGCTAAATGCTAAACAGTATGAGTACAACAAAGAATTCCAAGGCACTCCTTAACTGGGAAGCAGACACCACAGTGGCTCCATTGAATGTATAACCACATGAAATATTTAGAACTGAATGAAATGTTGAAGACTGAATGAAATGGCATATGAAGTAACTAAACCACATGCTACTCAGCAACCTGTCATGCTGTTCTTTTGAAAACTGAACTGTTTGGGGTTATTTTTTGTTTTGTGGACTTGGGAGTTTTCTTTTGTTTGGTTGGTTGTGTTTTGGGTTGGTTTTTTTTTAGGAAAAAATGTTAAAAAAAAAGGGAAAAGGACATAGAAAAATAAATAAATTATTTCTTTCTATTGTCTGTCCAATGCAACTTGTAATTCTCAGGCATGTGGCCTGTAATATCATTAATATACAAACTTCCAGATGTGAAAACAATGTAAAGAAATGCCGTTCATTAGCAGAAAATTTGAAGCAAAATATCTAATAAATGATAGCTGGAACCTGTCAGCCACTAGAAAAAACGGCTTTCTGTCAAGTGCTCCCAAAGTCTAAGTCCTAGTTTCAACCAAGCAAAGCTTTAAACTGTAATGACAATGACATTAAATATCTGTAGTTAACCCTGTACACATTGTCTCTTTTAGCACCCCTTTTATCAACTCTCAGGTGTAGGCTTGATCCAAACCCCATTAGACTCTCTGGAATTAGTTAATTCACTGGATGAGGCCTGCACTGAAGAGGTGTTTACAACATGCATATCAACCCATCTTCTTTTCAGCTCTGTCTTCAAGGGCTCTGCAGTTTGTGTGTACAGCATGGCAGATATCAGAGCTGTTTTCAATGGCCCTTATGCTCACAAAGAGAGTGTGGATCATCGGTGGGTACAATATGAAGGCCGCATCCCATATCCCAGACCTGGTACAGTAAGTGTCTCCTTAATTACGTACTTCTATTTTTACTCAAAAGCAATCATACTTCATGCCCCTTCCTGGACTGGTAAATTATATTTTCCACTGAGGATGTTTCAAATTATCCTTCCAACCTCTTTCTTTCCATTGAGAGCTCAGATCAGACGTCTACCTACCCTGTAGGTGTATGAATATACATTTTTCCATGACTCTGAGATAACATTGTGTCCAGACTGTCTATATCCTGATTTTCTCTCATATTGTGGTCTCCTACTGTACAGCTGTATTTCTGTCTGTTGGGATCCCCTATAAGGCATCAATACTTCATAGAACACCAGCGGCATTTCTTTATGTAATATTAAGTTATGATGAGGTATTTTGACTCGTATTTCTGTTATTCTGTGTCCGTTAAAGTCTGGTTTCTTGATATATGGTCATTGATTCTATTATGTGTGTTTGTGCATGTGTTGTGTTTTGATGTGAAATAAGGAGTTTAGTTGCTGGAGACTTCATGTGATGAAACATAAGTGATAGGAAGAGAAGTGTAATATCTGGAAACACTTCTAAATCACAATCTCTTCGATTTCAGGTGTAACAATTGGGCCAAAACAAAGAGGGGAATATTGAGTTAATAAATAATTCTTCCCCCACATCTGTCTTGGTATTAAATTTGGAAAAGCACAGACCAACATTATAGCTGAGGAAGAAAATGGTATTTCCAAAAAACACATCTATTTTTAAAAAGTTATCACAACTTTAAGCAACTGTTCATATGTAGAATGTAAAGAGCAATGTTATAAGAGTAAGATAGCTGTTATCCAGGATAGCTTTACATTATGTTGGTCAGATATTCAGTGACCTAGTACTAGGCAGATGCATAAATCCAGCCAAGCATTGAGCTGCTGAGGTTGGACTGCTGCTGGTATCTTGCCATTTGGGTGTATCTATTTCTCTGACATCACTGCTGGTGTAACTTTTGCTTCCATCAGTAAAAAGCTGCTGGATCTAACACCTACTAAAATTATTTGGGAAACTAGTTATAAAGTATGTAAAAAATATCCTTTTCATTTAATGATGCATCTTTAGTTCAGCAGTGCTGAATGTTTAAACGTTCAGAATGCTGTTCCCTGTGAGCTTCAAAAGGGTTTGTATTTCCAGTGTGTTGAAAATCCCAGTTTAAAAGTGACTTTTCACATTGAACCTTTGCTTCAAGCCACATTATCTGACATATTTAGCTCTTCTTTTCACACATTTATTTGTGCCTCTGTGTTTTCTTCATCATCCTTCCAATGGACTCAATTGCACAGTCCAGGCCCATGCTTTAGCTGCACTCAGTGGTCCCAGGTTCTGATTCCCTCCTCCCAACTGCAGGCGAGACACAGAGAGCAGCTCTCTAAGGCAGCTCCAAAGATTGATTTGGCCTGCCTAGGATCTGTGCTGCTGGAGCAAATGCGCTCCTAATTTAGACAATTTAGGCACTGTAGGCTTACGCTTCTCTCTCTCATGCAGAGTATCTAGTGCCTCAGCAAAGAAGATTAAATTAAATTATTATTTTTAATCCTGTGCAACTCCATTACTGGTTAAGAAGTCCAGATGCATTTAGTTTTAAGTACAAAAATGGTGCCAGCAAGAACAATAGCTGGTCCCATGGCATCTAAAGAGATTAAAATAACTCTCTTAGAAAACTCAGAGTGCCCCATAAGGATGAACACTCTGCACAGATAGATGGGTCGTAAGCTCATTGCATTTTTGAGTGTATTAGCCATCACATGGTTGAGCTGGGAATCACAATGAAGGAAACATGTCATGCTGAAACATGTCAGTGCTGATCTTTATCACTGATTTGAATATCCATGCTTGCAAGTATTCTAAAAGTTAGAAAGTTTAAAGACAAATGGCCATTTTCCATAAGCTGCCACTTAACTCTCCAACTGCTTCCTTTAAGCACCTGATAACAGCTGTGAGAAAAGTTTGTCTGACCGAGGACTGAGAAGTAAGTGGATTTTACTGAAGAAAGCTCTCAGAAGAAAGATATCCGCAATATTTGCTGTGTAGATAAAGTAAATGTATTGCTGCATAGTTATTTATCTTTGTTCTTAGTGGGATGGACTGCAGTAATAGTTTAATACAGTGAATCCAAATAAGTAGATTCACGCCATAGTCTCGTAACAAGCTACTTCAAATCTCTGGATATGAATAGATTTAAGCTGGGATCTGAAAAAGCAGCCCAGTGCTCTAAAACAGGGAAAAGCAATAGCATGCTATACCCCTGCAGAACTCTGCAGTGTAAACACTGAAATGCTCTTCCTCAATTTCACCAGTTCTTGCCAGCTATGAGGTGGTTCAGAAATGCTCAGAACAAAGTCAAAGAGGGATAAACTATCCTTTTTCAACTTACCGGAACATTTTTGAAATTTAAGTTCTGCCTAAGTGTTGCCTACATGACACTTGCCAGCACTGCCCTGATTTTGTGTTTCTTGTATTTTAAGTCACTGTCAAAGTCTAAAAATGGCTATACTAGGAAATGTGTTTCTTTTGATGTTTGGTTTTGAGAGAGGCATTGACTTCCTTTCAGCATTTATATAGAAGCAGGAGACTCCTTACCCTAATTTTACTTTCTGCTCAGCTGCCTTTATCTCCTAAGTAAATAAAGCTGTTCACTGTAGAGGCTGTGACCACTTTGATATTGAAATTTTGACAAAATGCTTCCTGTGGCAATTTGTGTCAGAGATAAACTCCCAACATGACCATGATATCATGCCTCTGCAATGCTGGGCAGTGTGCAGGCTGCAGAAGCCCTTGCCTGCCCTAGGTCCCGCTGCTGTGGCATGGTCTGCCTGCCTTCTGCTGTCGTTAGGAGACCCCGGAGCAGGGTGACTGGGGATCTCCAGCATGCTCCACACAACTGAGGCTGCAAAATGTACAGCTCTTTTACTCCTAACTTCTGCCAGCAGTGTTAAACAGCAAGTGGAAAGAATGGGAATTAGAGGCAAAGCTTCAAGTCTATTACAATTTAGAAGCTGAAAAAAAGAGAAAGAAGAAATATGTATCAGGCAGCCCCAACAAAAAGGGCAATTTGAAAACCAGGGGAGCTTTTGCTCTCTCTTCTATAGCTGTTTAAAAATTGGACTTGCGTATCTGTCCCCAGATGAAAAATCCAATTTTCTTCCAGTCTCTTAGGGTTTCACCTGGGAAATTATCCATTGAGAAAGAAATTACCAAGGGCTTTCTTTAAAGTGTGTTCTGTATTCTGAAACAGAGTTTCATAATGCCCTCCCAGTAACCAAAGAAGGCATTTGAACAAGATTTTCGGTGAATTAGGAGTCAAAAAACACTTTTCTAGCTTAGAAAAGTTATTTAGCTGTAACCACTGCAGTATCAGAGCTCAACTCATAGCCCTCATATGGAAATTCTGATGTTAGCAGTCATCTTCCTTTCATTCATGGTGCGTAAATGTCATTAAGATCAGATTTTTAGAGGAAATCAGTGTTTAAAGATGCACTAAAGATTGGCACTGAGACTGATCTACAGCAGAACACAGGATTCTAACTGCTATCCAAGGCAACACTAAATATCTTTGTAGATCTAGATATTTTACTAACTGATTTCCCAAAGGTTCAAACTAAGAACCTTGGCAAAGAAAGATTCTTGCAGTCTGAGTCATCTTAGCTACAAGAAGAAACAGCACATCACATTTATCCATTTGAAGAATCTCACGTCTTTCCATTCCGTATCTGAAAATGGCTCTGAGCTCCTCAATTCTATGTGTATTTCGTTTTTGAAAGAAGTTCCCTTACAAGCCCTCATTTTCCTGCGATCTTTTTCATCTTTTTTTCTCCCTATATCTTTTTCTCCCTCTTTTCAGTGAAACCCTTTCTTTTATTTCTTCTACTAATCCAGTGCACAGGCTGATTGAGGTGTGGTGTCCATCCCTTTGGGACTTGGCTGAGCCACAGAGAAACACTGTCTGCCAAAAAGTCTCCCCCTGTCCTCCCATCTGGTTGGTTTGCTGGTTTAATAAGTGTGTTCATAAAACATTGAGGATTGCACAGATTTCCCTTGCTATTTTCAGACTTATCTTCCTCTTTCACCTGATCTTTTATGGGACAGACTGCATTCTTTGTTCCTCCAATTCCTTTCTCCTTTGATCTCCCCACTGTAAATGGGGCTGCTTAATTAAGTGAAATATTTCACTTTATGGGTTTATTTTCATGAGAAAGCCTCCTCCACCTCCTCTTACTTACCAACCTGTTCTCCCCAACATGAATCACTTTTCAGTTCCTAGCAGCCTTTCACAGCAATGTGAACCCAGTCACCTTTCCTGCTGGAAGAGGCCGGCAGAGAATTGCAAAATGCCACCTGCAAAGTCAAGCTCACTCACCTAGCTGGTCATAGCCCAGTTATCCTCAGATTAACAGTCTTGTGTCAGCCTTTTCTATCAACAACACAGGTGTGTTAAATGGAAAAGCAGTACGAAGCACTCAAGACGAACACTGGAACAGGGTAGAACAAACCTTGCACATTCAGGGGGATACAAACACTATCTTAAAAAAAAAAAAAACCAACCAAGAACTTCAATTTATTTTTGTATAGATTTTTTTGTTTGTTTTGTTTGTGCTTTTTCTGGTGGGGTTAGTGAGGTTGATTTCCTTTA